CGCCGCTTCTGTACGGTGATAAAAGAAAATCGTCAAACTACGGTGTTTTTTCTTGGGCCATTGTTTAATTACTGTACATGTAAACTGTGTATCAGTTTTCACACCCAAAAGATCAAGACATTTGCAACAAATGCTTTCACACGCACACGCACACGTGCTCTGACTCATGTTTTCATCCCTGACTCATGATTTGGGCAATCTGAAGCAATTGCTCGATTCTAACCGTCTAAGTCTTAATGTCCTCAAGACTAAATGTTTGTTTACAGGCACGAGGCAAAAAATCTCTTTGCTCCCTAGCGATCCACACATATCCCTTGACGAGCATTCAATTAAAAGAGTCAATAGTTACAAATGCCTAGGCGTTCAGGTTGATGAAACACCCTCGTGGGAGGCTCACATCTCCGAAGTCATCGGTAAAGTTGCAAAAGTACTAGCTGCCCTGAGGAGGCTAAGACTGATATGTCCCCAGAGTACCCTTGTCACTATTTACAAGTCATTGATTCTTCCGCATCTCGATTATTTCAGCGCTGTCTGGGGCCGTATCGGTAATGGTCTCAGCCAAAAACTAGAGAAACTACAAAACAGGGCTGCACGCATAATCACAGGGTCTAGCTGGGATGCCGGCTCTGCACCGATTCTTCATGCCCTTAAATGAGATAGTCTCACTGACAGACGTGCAAAGCAACTAAAATCTTTAATGTTTAAAACTGTAAATAACCTTGTACCCGAATACCTGTCTGATAAATTCGCCAGCATTAATACCATTCACAGGCATAATCTTCAAGGTGCACAACATAACCTGTTTATTCTGCAACCAAACACTGAGGCCCTAAAGAAAAGTTTTCGTTATAGGGGCACAGTAACATATGGAACAGCCTGTCAGCTGAGGCTAAGCAGGCCACTATTTTAAATTGTTTTATTCCGCTATTGTACATTAAGATTTTCTTAGTTGGCATTTATTATAGGATTTTTTAATAATGTTTGTTATTTTTAAGTCCTAGCTTAATGTGCACGGCACTTTAGAAGACCACTTTTTAGTGATAAGGATTCCGTGGTTAAATAAAGTTATTACTTACTTACTTACTAAGTAAATTTCAACATAGTAGTACACTACTGTGCGATCACCGTAAACCAGATAGTGCGATCAATTAGCCTTTCTGTGAGGGTTAGTTTATTGGTTATTCGGACTGATGTTTTATTGTACGAAGACGAAAATAGCTGAAAAGGGTCAAAACTTTATCTTTGAGAGCCTAATGAAATGCCCGGCTTATCAAAGTCTCACCTCAAAAAGCTGCGCGTGTGACTAAAGTCAAAAGTGCAAAGACGGTAAACAAGACTGATGTATAGTGAAATTAATTAGCCTTTCTATGAGGATTAGTTTATTGGTTATTCGAACTAATGGTTTAGGGTATCGAGATGATAGTAACTGAAAACTGGTTAATATTTTATCTTTTAGACCCAAATGAATTATCCTGCTTAATAAATAAACAACTTTGCTTTTGACTTACATGAAAAGTCTCACCTGTTAAGCCGCGTGTGTGACTGAAGTCTAAAGTACAATAAATTTCTTTAAGAACTCAGATAAGTTTATTTGTTATTCAGGGTAACAGAGTTTTCCGATTTAGGGGAAGTTCTGCAGAAGTGAAACTAGCCAGTTTTTAATGAGTCCAATTTCTAGCCTTTCTATACGTGAAATTCGTTTAACCATTACTGGTAAGTAAATTGCTGGTTGTTTATAACTAGGGTTTTTCCATTTAGCGGAAGTTCTTTAAAATTGCCTTTCTCTTTCTCTTGTAACTGACTGTTTAATAAGAACGCTTATAAGGAATGTTAACGAAAATGTTTCATACCACTCGCTTTACACATTTTTGAGCAAATATCCAGTCTTTGATTTTGAACTTTCTTTGCAAGACGTTACCTTTTTCGTCAGTTGCTAAAAATTTTACCAACTAAAGAGCAACAAGTGAGAAATTAGAGAGGCTCTGCCTTGACCAAATTGTTATTACCGGTATGTGACAAGTCAACAAAAGCAAAAATCAGATAAACATGTCAAGTATGTTACGTGATTTATCAACGTCTTGGGAAGTAATATATATTAAGTCTGCACAAGTTAAATATTTTTCTCGACACTAAAGTTACTCAATATTAACTTTAATGTATGTTTTCATTTCTGGTCCACAGTAATACTCTTGTCCTCCAGGAAATATTCCTTCGTAATTTGTTCACGGTTGCCATTTGGAAAGCCAGTATTCCCAATATATAATATATTGGGTCGTATTCTGTTAGATTTGAAGCAAACATCGTAAAGAAATTTTGCAACCAGAGTTCTTTGAAATCGTACATGAAAACTAATATAAGGAAACTCTCGAGACTTACAATACAATACAATAACATACATTACAATACATTACTTACAATAACTTTATTGAAGCAAATCATAAACAATAGAACGTCCCAGGACGATTTTCCAATTACTGTTAGCAATCTAGCTGGAAGCCTTACATGTGAAAACNGACATAAACAAAATATTTGCTTGCAAATAGAATTTTTATGTCTTCTCTCTTTGACCAGGGTATTTGATAATCAAGGGGGACTGGGTTTGGGTCAGGTGTCAGTGGCCATTATGTTCAACCCCCCTCTAAGGTTTTGACAAGTCACATGAACTCGCAAGCCATGTGCTTGCCATTCGTCTCTACTGCTCGGAGTTAGAAGCTTCTTTTGACTCCCACCTCCTTCCCCTGATCCGTCCACTTTTTCTGTAGTATATAATTAGTGCTGGTGCGTTTTTCTCGGCCCGCACCTTTACTGGGCAAACATATTATAACAGAATTCATTTTTGTTCTCTTTGTTTCAATAAAAGCGGCTATGGACCTATTGTCCATAGCCATTTTGCTCCAACTTAAGTGTGTTTAATTTTATTGCCCAGTAAACAGAGCTCAGGCAAGAGCAGCATTTAGGGGTTTTGTTTTGGGCGGAGAGAGGAGGACATAAATACTTTTTACTCAAATATGGTAACATAAGATATGTATTTTTTATCTTGTGTGGAAATAAAGACTATTACTTACTTACTTACTCAGTGCTTAATTGATTTCCTTTTCAATGAAGAGATTTGCTTGTAGCAAACAGTCTTATTCAGCTTAAATTAATACATATTTATTAAACCTTTTAGTTTTGACTGTACACGATGCAACCACAATTATGACTATTTCAAACTGAGTCCGCTCATTATCAGTGAAACTCTTTTAAAATTGTTTTGCGATTGATATAACATAATAAAAACTTGGTATTAAAAACTTGGTATTAAGCGACATTATTCTCTCAGAATTGGAAATCGGGTTCGAACTCGCACTGAAACGTCCTCAATCTGTAACCAGGCCTATGCATAGGTTTTTAACTTCCCCACGTATGCAAAGGCTTACTTGAGTTTGCACATAAGAATGACTCGGTGTTGTGACGAATTACTCTATGAATGTTTTGGAGAAATAATCTATTCTGTTATTGGCTATTGCGAGGAAACTGGAAAAAAATCGTCTTTTACAACAGTCCCATAATGCAATTCGACGCATCACTGACCCAGTCTCCCCAGTCACCTGCAACCTCAGATTCGCCAGCCAATAAAACGTTTTCGCATGACGTCATGTCCGCGATATTGGTGTTCCAAAACAATAAAACGGTGGCCATGTAGAAAATTTATTTTGTTCCCAAGCTTCCAATTTTCTTTTGTTCTATAGCTGCTGGCCATGTCAGTGAAAACGCGCTATACAAGTTTAAGTCCTCAATCATGGCGTTATAAGACACCTGGAGGAGAATGACTCTCAATAGAAGGAAACACCTACCCAGGAGATGCACGGGAGCTAAAGCAACAACAACGAGAACGTAAAAAAAGAAATAGGTTTAGATTGGCAAAACAACAACTCCACGCTAGTAAACCAATCTTTATTGAAGTATCAGAACAATAAGTAATATTTACAATTTTAAACTATATCGCATCGTTTACAAATTAAAAACTAAATATATCTCCACGATAGAAAAACTACTTACACTTGTGAATAATTTGAAAGTGGGAAAAGGAAAATTAAGCATTACTAAGAAAAAAAAAACTATCAAAAATCTAGGCCTAAAATTATGAGTGCAGATGTAGACCAGCTACAGCGAAAGTGAAGTCTTCTGAGACCTCACGTTATTTGAATGAATATCTAGAACCTCTGACGCATCTGTGTACAGTTCTTAATATAGCAAATAAGAGCTGTATTCGAAGCCGGATTTTCGATTTCAGTTTTCTTTTTCGAAAAGCAACACGCTGTCTTTTTCGGTAAAGATCTTTTGGCAGTATTAGCAACTGAGATCGGAGAAAGTTCAATTTTCCAGTTATTTGTATTGGGGTGCTAAGACCGGAACCGTATTTACAAGCATTGTCGTTATTTCCCAGTTGCAAAGCATAATTCAGATCAAGCAGCCGAGGTAACTTCTATGGGAATGTCAGCCTGTGTGTTTTGAAAGAAAAACTGGACTGTTTTAAAGAAATACTGCAAGGAACTCATAACACCGTATAGTGTCAGCTATGCGGTGATGGACAAACGATTAATGAATTTCATTGAAATCGCCATCATTGTCCACCACGAATACAGCGGCGTGCTTTGTCGACGACGGGGCTGAACGGGACTGAGGTAAAGCTGTTTGTTCGTTCTGTTTGCCCCTATAAGTTTTAATTTGAAATTGCATCGTTTGCTTTATGGATGAGGTTTTTTTTTTCCTTTGGGCCGTGATGTTCTCTGCTAGCAGAGGTCTCTCACGACGAGGCCAAAATGATAGGATGGCCATGATTGATTTTGGGCATGATTGGCAAGGGAGGGGACATTTTTCTTTCAAAGCTTTGTTATTTCCATACGAACTTGTCGCCTTTTTAGGAGTCTATTTAGCGTTTTCTTGAAAATTGACACCCTGCAAGTATATGCTATAGGATTAACAAGAGAGTTTGCCAAATGCAGAACAGTTCCCACCAAAACGACTTCGGCTGGAATACATTCTTTGCAAAAGACGTAATGGATGACGTTCAAAATAACAGCTGGAACCCAACAAGCAAATGACAATGCGATGACCAGAAATACCGTTTTTGAGAGTTTTACGTTTCTTTCCACGTTTTGTCTTTCATCACCATGATCACTGTTAAATATTTGGGGTGAACGTTTCAAATGGGCGCGTATAATGATGTACGTAAGACAAGTGGTAAGAATTGATAGTACAAGAACGATGTTCAGTGCTAAAACCGCAAATTCCAAGGGCCACACCTTGAATAAAGGTAGAATACAAATGAGGAACACACTCATCGCAGTCACCCAGATAAAAGCAATACAATAGACATACACTCTGTCACTTGAAGTTCGATGAGCAAGTGGCCACAAGACAGCGGCAGTGCGTTCCAATGAAACAGTAGCAAGAGAAACTACTGAAGCTGTTGAAAACAGGATGTCAAATGCTGCAATATAGTTTCCGAGGTCGTCAGTGTTTCGTTTTCTTATCAGAGAGGGAATGTAGATGGTTATAAACGCTGGAATCTTTGTGACTCCTATTAAGAAATCGGCAACCGCCAGATTGATCAGAAGATAGCTGGCTCGTCTTCTACTTCCCGTGCACTGCGTCCAAAATACGAAAATTACGAAAGCGTTTCCAACACATATGACGAGTGTTTCGATACTTATTATCACAGAGAAGACGATGACACTGTTCGTGTACATTGCTTCTCCCTTCTGTTGAACGACAAACGCACTAACAGAGCAACTGGTCTGTTAATCAAAAAGAAGGCATGTAGTTTGGTTATGTAGTAACTTCAAGGGTTCCAGGGGAGCAGGTCGGGGGGCGGGGGAGGACTCACCTCCTTAGGATACTTATACGGGTATGTGCCGCCCGAGGTCGGGCGGGCTTTAGAGGTCCTGTTTTACAACAGTTTTTTCTATGTTCGAGTCGACCGTGTACTTAATATGCGTTGTAATATTGGGATTTTTACACGACTAGTAGGGAGATCAATATCAGGCTATAATTTTCAATGTAAACTCTTCCAAAACAGGTCTACAATAGGGAATAGATTTTGAGACCTGAGCAACCCATACACTCTAAACTCCTACCTTAGTACCCTCCTTTAAACTATGATTATGATATGTCGCTAAACATCTACCAGTCTTAAGTCGACTTTCAATTAACCTCATCTTCATTTATTTACTGTGGGCAGCTAAAAAAGATAAATGCAAACAGAAAATATAAATAAATAACCGTAAACTTAATTGACTGTTCTAGAGACCACATCAGGTTTTAACACAACAAGCAATATTTTTCCTTATTACTTTTTAGCCAAAACTGTGACATTTTCAATACATATGTAAATTTGACACCGAATGAAGCAAAATACAATATATTTTAACCAAATACAAGACACCCTCAATCCCTTTTGCAATCACATTCTAGAAAATATTTACATGTTCCTAAAAACTTGCTGTTTACCGGCACATGCACATTGAATCCAGCAATGACCCACTGAATAATATATTTTGAAGTTTAAAGTGAAAAATCCTTCCACAAAACGGCAAACAATGCAGAGACCTGGGTGAGCCATACCTGACCAAAAAGGCCTATTCGAGTTTCCTCCTAAACAAAATTTGTTTTATATAAGTCGCAAAACATCTGGCATGTCAAACCGACTTTCAGTTATATCACCTAGTGCATAAAATTACTTTTGGCAACTAAAAAATTAAATACAAAACGAAAATAAAGAACACAGAAAACGTAATAAGTTCGCGCAGGGTTTGTAATATCAAAAGATACACTAATCATGAGACTGCACCAGCTTTGACACAAAAATAGACAATTTTCTTAAAACTGTCAAATTTTGATAGATATCCGGCAATAACACACCAAAACAAATTTAATAAATAATGAGCAGAAACCCAGAAAAGGGAATTTGAAATGCAACCTGATGGATAAGGAAACAGCATGATTTAAAAGATCCCAGAGTTCTTACTCTCGCGGAAACAATGTAGAGATAAAACTCTTACCATATTACTCTAAAAATTACCATTATTAACCAATAAAAACTATTCATTTTCGGACGTGCTTTCTTGCGGTAGTATTACCAGCAAGGTAAAAACATATGTCCTGTAGAGCTTTCTGAAAAAAGCTGACGAAATAGCGATAATTAGAAAGCTGCTTACTTAGCCTTAGGTCTAAAATAAACTCCATTTCTGATGAGATGCTTCTAAGCTCGCGTCCATATTTTATGCATGACCTGAAAATCATCGTAACTTTACTTCAGGTGCTCATCTCCTACTACAATGTATTCTTGTCAGAATGATATTACCGCAGAAAAAGAAAACAAAAAGGAGGTTACGGCACACCAGAAATCAGTTTTACTTGACCAGCTCTTGTCGTGTATTTATGTAGCAGCTCCTCGGAAGAGAAGTCACCAATTGTGGGTTTCCCTGACCCAAGACAATACTAAAACAATTGGGAGAATGACATGTCATTGTTTCCTGCGACCAATTAGGAGAGACCTACCAAGCAGCTCCTACACTACTCGTCGTGTGGGAAGCGAGCGCTGATGAATCATAAAATGCGTCACTCCACTGGAATAAGGATAGCGGAGCAGTACACGAGGGGTTTGATTACAGTGAGTTATTTTAATAAACTGCATGTGCACGAGGATGACCACATGAATTTGTTTTCTTCTCTCCTTAATGTCCCGCCGAACAACTTGCATTGATATTTCAGGGTATCTGGATAAACCTGATGCTTTGGCCTATCCGTGGTCTTCCTAACAATCAACCTCTGCGCGCGTAAGGCCTCGTAGCTCAATAGGACAATTGCACGATGACGTCATTTTACTACAACTACCAGAATCCTTGAGTTTGTTATTTTCTTGTGCAAATTAAGGCTATTGCTCTTTAATCCTCAGCGGGATTGACCAATTTAAATAACAAAGCAACAACGAAATGAATTCTGGTAGTTGTAGTCAAATATCGTCATCGTGCAATTGTCCTATTGAAAAAGATTGGGCTGTACTTGAAGGTCATAGAGCTCTTCTCATCGCATGGGGACTCGGTCGAAAAAAACATTGCTTGTTCGCAATGAGAGGAAACAGCAAACGTCGATGATCACAGTCGCCGTCAAGGAGAGACTATTGCAATGTCGGACCTTGAGCAAAGACGGAAAATTGGTATTGAGGATGATAATAAAGCTGCCAAATTAAAGGTCGTTCGCAATGCTGACCGAAAAAGTTATGGAACATTAAATGAATAGCAGATAACTGAAAAACTACCACAATAACATCACTTGACACCTTATCTTTGGTTTCCAATATGGCATCAAATGTAAAGAGCTTGAACTGACTAGTGCTTGCTAGATTCAATTCACTGGTTAATTGATTTCCTTTCTCAATGAAGAGATTTGCATGTAGCAAACAGTCTTATTCAGCTTAAATTAATACATATTTATTAAACCTTTTAGTTTTGACTGTACACGCTGCAACCACAATTATGACTATTTCAAACTGAGTCCGCTCATTATCAGTTAAACACTTTTAAAATTGTTTTGCGATTGATATAACATAGTAATTATAAAAACTTGGTATTAAGCGACATTATTCTCTCAGAATTGGAAATCGGGTACATCTGAACAATATAATTGATTATTCTATCATTCTTATTAATCATCATTATTATATGACAGATTACAACTTTGTACATCATAGTGTTCTAGACTCTTACACATTGCCAAATTAGGACAATTGCACGATGACGTCATTTTACTACAACTACCAGAATCCTTGAGTTTTCTGTTTTCTTGTGCAAATTAAGGCTATTGTTCTTTAATCCTCAGCGGGATTGACAAATTTAAATAACAAAGCAAAACCGAAATGAATTCTGGTAGTTGTAGTCAAATATCGTCATCGTGCCGTTGTCCTATTGGATTAAGATGTAGATATATACTGATTTCATTTTTTAATACATCTGTTTAGTTATAGATTATACAGATGGCGTTTTGTTTGCGTCTTTGGTTGCTCGAAGATGACATTTCCGATCTTGTGTCAGTCGGTCGAAGTGAAAGCTGAAGAATAAAAATGAATAAAGCAAGAAAGGAAGAAAGAAAAAAAGAAATTTGAACAGTAAAACTGCTTTTTTTTTGTTACAGCTGAAAAATTGGCTCTAGTGAATGAAAGCTAATTCATAAAATAAAATAAAACTAAACAAATAAATACCTTAAAAATATTCTGTGCTTTGCCTCGCCTTGTAGTGCATAAGCGATCTACATCTTCATCAGGCTAGCCTGCGTCTTAAGAGTGGCTGTCTGTAAGGATCGAGAACCGGCGGTCAGCGACCCATTTGGCGAATCCCTGATATTTTGCCCAAAGTAAGCCTTGGGTAGACTGTTTTCAAAAATCATATTCAAAAGTTCCAACGATTTTGTTTATTTGAGAAATTTGAGACAAATTAAAAGTGCGGTCAAAATGCGGTCAAAGTGCGGTTTTTTGGTTGATCAAAAGGTGCGATTATAAACCTCCGCCGAAGTCTTAAAATGAAATCAGTTGACCTCAAAATAAAAAGAATTTCAAAGCAATCAATCTTCTACACTACCAATGTTTTAATCTTTTCAAATATGATAATACAATGGTTTTTCAGGCC